GAGTTTTCAAGATAAAGGCTTGAAACTCTTAAATTATATGTAAAATTAAGAGCTGAGCAAGTTTACTTAAGATGTTAAGAACAGTTATCTTAATAAAATATTGAGTTATTAAGGATTTTATACTGGCAAATTTTTAGTTAAGTTTTGTGTAAATGATTGACGGAAAGAGTTTTTTTTTTTTTAAATATTTTTTAATTTTAAATTTTTTTAAATATTTTTTAATTTTTTGTTTTTTTTTTTAATTTTAATTTTATTTTAGCTACTAATATTGTTTTTAATAATCTATATTTTAAATTTTATAAAATAAAATGTTTATAATTTTAGTTATTTTTGAATTATTTTTTTTTTTGCAAAATACTCTTCTAAATAATTATCATTTTTTAAAATATCATCCATAGATAAATCTAAACTTCTTTTTTTTAAATTATCAAAATCATTTTCATGATATTCTAAATTATTATTAATTGTTATTTAAATAATTATTTAATAAATAAAATTATTATATTATTTTTAAAATTATTTACTATTATTATAATAATTATTATCTAAATAATTATCAGGATTATTATTTAAAATTTCATTATGCAATTCATCATCTAACTTATCACTATCTAATTCTTTATTTAATTCATCTTCTACTTCATTATTTAATTCATCATTTGATTCATTATCTGACTCATTATTCAATTCAATATTTATTTCAGTATTTAATTCAATATCTAATTTATCATCTGATTCATTCTCAGAACTATCACTTGATTCATTATCAAAATTATCTTATAAAAACTACTATCTAAATTATTATTTTCTTTATTATTTAATTCAAATATATTTAATATATTTGTAGTTCCAAGATTTTTATTTTTATTAAGTTTTTGTATAATATATAGTAATTGCAATCTATAATTGCTATTGTTACAAAGTAGATTTTTAGTATAGATTTTATTAAACATTATTTAGTTATTTTTAGTTATTATTATTCAAAATATTAGTATTTTTATATAGTTAAACTATTAGATATATTTATTATATTATTATATATTAGTTTTATATATATTTTGATAGAATATTATATAGCATTAATATAGAAACAATTTGATTGGCTATTGGAAGTGTGGCACAGTTACATGATCTCACATGACCTCAGACGATACAAGGTACACAAGAAAGTTCTTTGGATTACACAAAGAAGTAACACAAGACAGTAACACAAGTTCCCTCAAGTTCCTCTACACAAAGTCCCCCAAGTTCCTCCTACATAAATACAAGTGTTTTGGATACAAAATCCCTCAGGTTCCTCTTTCCCAAGTTCCTCTTCACAAACAATAAATAAATATAAACAAATTGAATAATGTTTATATTTCCTCAACTTCACCCAGTACAATCTCCCAACTTCCTTCAACACAATTCCCCAACTTCTTCCACTAATGTTACTTATCCCCTAATATCCCTTTACACGCTGTGTACCTTTTCTTTAGGACAGAAAAGATATATAAAGGGTGCCTTTTCCCCTTTCTGCTAATTCAATAAGTTTCTATACTTCACCTAGACTCTGTTCTCTTTATACTCTTCTTGTAAATGTGATATTCCCCCTTTAGGATAATTCCTACAGGCAAGGTTTATCTTGTGTTCTTGTATGAAATAAAGTTATTCTATATACTGTTATTATCTCAAACTGTTTGCCTCCTGCTGTGTAGTTAAGTGAACAACTACACATCCACCCCGTGTATATTTGCAAAAGTCAATCACTGCACTGGGTGACCTTGTTACTTGGTTGTATTTTACTAAGAAGGCTACAACTCTGTGACACTATATATATAAACTAATTTAAAAACTCTTGGCTTAGTTAAACTTTGTCTTTTTTTATTATAAATAAATGAAAAATTAGATCAGTTTCTTTCTGCTACAGCTGAAAAAGTTGGAATAAATAATATTTTGCATGCTAATTTTGCTAATTCAGAAACAGATTCTTGAAAATTACCTTTCCACCACATTATTGAATTAATTTGATTTACTGATTTCCAAGCTAGTTGATTATTAAATGGTCTATTTTTAGTTTTATATTGAATAATTTGTTGTCAAATAATTGCTGAATTTTGTATATAATATTTAAAAACAAAGTTAGAAATAGTTGTCATATAGTTATTTGATAATCTACTTCTAGTTACTTTAGGATTAAGAAAATTTGCAACTTCTATAACTGGATGATATATTTTAATCCATCTAGCTTTTAATATATTTTTGATATCTTCTATATTAATTAATTAATTAATTAATAAATTATTATAATAACAGTAATTATAAAATAAACTATAGGTGTTGTTGGTATTAATATATTTTTGGCAAAAATTTAAGATTAGGATGCAATTTTAGAGTAAGATAGGAGTTAGATATAAAGGTCTAAATTTTAGTTAGCATAAGGTTTTTAGAGGTTCTAAACATTTTTACTTAATAATCTAGAGATGTGTTAGCTAGTACATTTTTAAGATATAGCAACTATGTTGTTCAACATCTATGATGCATTTTAGTAAACCTTTTATAATAATTAAAATTAAAATTAGCTAAAATTAAAATATAAAAATATAAATAAATTTTAATAAATTTTATAAATTTAAATAATAATTTTAAAATTTTAATTTAGCTAATTTTAGTATTAATTTTATATTTATAATTTAATAAACTAAATGATACTCACTATTTTGAATTGATTTAAAATAATTATGATACTATTTATAAAAATAAAATAGTTGAGGATTATCACTTACTAATATACTAATTCTAATTATTAATTCTTTTAAAATTTTAATTAATTTTAAAAGATTGTTCTAATAGATTTTATTATTAACTGTTTTTTTAATAATTCTATATATATTATCTTGATTTGCAATTAATTCAGTAATAGTAAGACTAATTGCAATATGATTAACTTTAACTGATTCCATATAGATAAAAAAGAACCTCATCTAGTTTTTGCTGATAATTTAAGAGAAACTTTTGATTCTTGTGATTGCTGATAACATTTAAAAATTGCTGTTGGAATATTATGATTTTTAAAAACTTAACAATAGCTTTTGTTTGCTTAAAAATAGAATTAGCCCAACTTAATTTCATAATATCTTGAATAATAAGATTTAAACTATGTACCAAACACCCTATATAAATAATATTTGGAAAAGATTTACTTAAAATTTTCCAAGATTTCTTCATAACAGAAGCATTATCAGTAATTATAGAACAAAGTTTAGACTTATCTATAGTTTCAATAATATTTTCTATATCTTTAGCAATATTATTAGCATTTTGATATACTTCTTCTATAGATTTTGCAAAGATAAATACTGGTTTTGGAGTTGCAAAGATAAAATTTGTTCAATATTTAGCAGAAATACTTGATCTAAAAATTAATAATTTTAATTATATATTTAAATTTATAATATTATAAGTATCTAAACTTTAAATAAAAATTATTTAACACTTACTTTGTCAAATTTAATTAAAATTTTTATTTTAATTCTATATACTTACAGAATTAAATTAAAAAATTTTAGTTAAATTTAACTAAGTAAGAGCTTGATATTTATTATTTAAAATTTACTATCCATCACAAATCAAAGTTAAAAATTTAGCATTTTCAATACTTTTATCTACTTTTAATTTAGTCTCATTATAAACAGCTTCTAGTAATTGATTAGCCATTTTTTTTCTTATAGGTAATTTAAATAAAAGTTTTAATTTTTTAATCCAGACTTGAATTGAAACTAGTTTACAAAATAAAAAAGGAAGACTACATTGAAAGACAGCTTTTGCAAATCCAAATTCAAGGTTATCTTGTTTATTTGTTGTAATATTGTCAAAAAAATTTTTAATATTCTATTTTGTAGTGTTTTTTTTGAAGTATTAATTAATAAATGAGAAGCAACTTGTGAAGATATTATTTTTGGATGACCAAAATAGGATTGGTAAGTTTTATTATCAATTTTGAACAATTTTTTAAATATGATTCGTATTTGTTGAGTGCTTTATTACAAGTATAGAAACAATATTTGCATTTAACTCTTGGTTGTTTAAATAGAAGAACTATATCAAGATCATCATAATGAAGGTAAACTAAACCTGGATTTCGTGATATTTATATGTAAAATTTAATAAAACCAAAATTTAGAAAGAATTAAAAATTTATAACAGTTTCACAGTCTTTTTTACAACAAATATATATGTTTTAAAATATTTTTTATAATATATATATATATATAACAAATTAGGATATAAAACATTTTAGTATAAAAATAAAGACAGAGACATGGTCTCACCATTAATATTCAAAAAAAAGATTTTAGTATAAATTAAGATTCATATTTGTGATATAGAAAAATTCTAATTTTGGTTAGATAGACAATCAAAATTTGATTTTATGATTCAGATTGGATCAATTTAACACTTATTAAAATGTTTATTATACCTATTTTATAGTTTAATTTTTCTATATAAAATCTTGATAGGATAAAATGTGCATAATTCAGAATCATGCGCATGAATACGCATTCATGTGCATGATTGAAGAATCATATGCATGTATGAAACCCACCTCTAGGTATAGTATATATTGGTGTATTAAAGTAGAAAGTAACTTAAATATCAGTTTAATTTTGAAAGTCTTTTGCTGGTATAATTTAAAGTTGGTATAAGTTGTTGATTTTTGTAGTTATTATTTAAATATAGCCAAGTTGTGTTTTAGTTAATTTGAGGTAATATGGATATAATATTATCTATTCAGTGTTGAAATGACTACATTGCTATAATGTGGTGTTGCATATGTTTTTAATAGATCTATAAGTAGGTTGTTTAAATGTATATTGTTCATATTGGATTTGATAAGATGGATTATATATATTGTTATTTATAAATTGGAGTGTAGTTAAATAATTAGTATTTTTAGCTAGTCTGTTAGCTAAGTTGTTAAAGATATTGTCACTGTGCTGTAACCTTTTCAAGTTGAATGTTAAGCTCGTAAGCTTTAATTAGATTAAGTAAAGTATGCCATATTGGCTAGTAGTTATAGAAGTATTTTTTGTTTGGTGTGGGTAGTGATTGTATAAGCTTCTTGTATTTGGATATAATAGATTGTGAATCTGTATAGATGATAATAGAACTATTTCTTGAACAAGTGCTAATAGCAGATAGTATTACAACAAGTTCAGCTTTGTAAGATAATGGCCAAAGTTAGTGCTCGACAAAATTAAGCAAAAACTTAACCAAGTACTTGATTAAGTCGGACATTAAATGATCATAGATCATATCAGTATATAAATATATATGTATATATATTTAACTGATTTGATCTATGATCGTTTTATATCCGATCTAATCAAGTACTTGTCAAGTTTTTGCTTGATTTTGTCGAGCACTAGACATGACTTATCTACCTATCCATAGAGCGAGATGCTTTATTTCCCATTACGAGGAAATCACCAGCCATCTGAGGGTCGTTGTGCTAAACTTTTGCCAAAAATTAATGACTGATAACCATGCAACCTTACTAGTTAACTAGTCATACTGCATAAGATCAAATTGAACTATACGTACGCAAAAAAATTCGGGTATCATATAACGGTATTTTCTTGTCTGGTCACATGATCCAGTCCATCAAATTGTAAAGATAACGCAAATTTAAAAAAAAAATCACTGGATATCGTGTTACCATCTTCAAGAGAGAGAAGCAAGTGTCGACTTTAGCTTCGATGAGAACGTGAGAGGATATCATCTATGAATCAATATATCATAACGAAATTTAAGTAAATAATGGTCTGGATTAAATAAGCACCATAGCCTCGATCAGAGATATATAAGATATAAGGTAAATTTACAGCTGTTTTCATAAATTCTGGGACACTTACAGCTGTTCTCATAAATTCTGGGACAACTGATAACCGAATTCGATAAGTTTCTGAGTTCGGCCGAAGCCAGTTACCTAGTGATTCCGACTCGGTAACTTATCGAATTCGGACATCAAACATTTTCCACTTGTCCCTGAATTTATGAGAACAGCTGTAAAACAATTGGCCGATGATAATTTCGGCCGAATTCGATAGGTTTTTGATTTCGAGACTATAAGAAATCAGTACACAAACATCTACGAGACATGAATTGAACAGCACGTCTAAAGCACGCAGCACAGCACGTATTGACGTATACTTTTATGTGATTTCCAGTATACTTTTACGTGTAATAATGTAATTTTTTTTACATACTTTCCGTATACTTTCCCTCAATTACGTATGGTGTATTCGGCATTTCTGTGTACGGGCTATGTTACACGACGTATATCATATACCGAATGTGTAATACCGAAATCGGTAAAGTCTGATTTTCTCTCGGCGTCACCCCATATAATACAGTACAATAATTTCTAGGGACATTATCCACATGATCTAAAGTCATAGCTAGAGTGGTGTTTCGGCCTAAACCGAAAGTTCAACCCAGGCAAGACTCCGGAATCTAATTTCATCAAGGATCCAGAATCAAAACCTCCGAGTCTCCAAAGCTCCGAAACTTCCAAATTTGCATCCTAAATACAAATTACGAGAACAGCTGTAAAGTTTTGTTTCTTAAATTTCAAAAATGATCAAGATGGTTAATCTGGTTCATATGTAACTATAATAGTGACTATGCTTCGCTTTGAGAGAAGAATTTTTTGTTTTGATCGTGGATATTGTTATTATTGTTACTATTTACAAACATAGGCCTGTAAGTTTCAGAAGTTTAAATTTTTCAAGTTTCTCTGAGGTTTGAAATTTCTCCAGCGTTAGAGGTTTCAAACTTTGAGCAAAGTCGAAACTAAAAAAGACGAGATTTCAGATTTTGAAAAAAGGTGGTAAGATATTAATTTAGGGTTAAACCTTCTTCAGTTCATAACATATTTTGACTTAAACTGAAGAAAAGGTTATCCTTTACACGACAAAAAAGACTATAATATTATTTACCCTATAATCTTTAAATAATGAAACGCTTAGTTCGTACGTACGATATACATTTCTATCAGTCCAAAGTTAGGAGGACATGGTGTTTGATGAATAAAAGTTGGTTTTTATTTCGTGTTTTATTTTTTCACGTTATTTTGATTAGTATCGAATGATTTTTTCTAATCGAATGATTTTTTGTTTCGATACATCAAAACCGAATGATCTTCTTTCTCATTCGATACTAGTGTTCCGCACTGTCCGGTTCGGTTCGGATTTATGCAAATTGTGTTACTATCGTATTGGAAGAAAATTCCTTTGTCTAGAATTATTATTTATCCCTTAAACCGTAAAGCAGGCAAACTTGCCTGCTAAAATTTTTTGTGACCTATTTTTTTATAATTACTCCATATTCATTATTACCTTGTGAAACTTAATGATACCCCCCAAGTAGGGTTGACAAATATGGAACATATGATTTACTATGTCCCATAACTTGATTTTCAAGGCAAAGACCCTATATAAAAGTTTACGCCAAAATATTTTCCTGCACGTGATCAGATTTCATCAAGTGATTTGATTGGTCACCATCATGTGTGGGAAATCTTTTGGGGTGCTTATAACTTGGAAGTCACGATAGTTGATTAGAATAAAGATTTTTATAAAAAAATTTATTTTGTATATGTTTTATTTTTTGCCTAGTATTTTTAGCAGGCAAACTTGCCTGCTAAACCCTACGGTTTAAGGGATAGTTCCTCTTGCAATCTCACCATTTCGTATGCCCCACCTTCACCCTAAACCCATTCTCTTAGGTTCTACCACAAAATCCCGACATCCAAAATCTCGACAGACCATAATACTGACATCATGCAATGTGACAATTAAAATTTAAAGTCTGGCAATGATCGTTAATGTGATTGCTAATCTTTAAATATTAACTGTCACGTCGGGATTATGGTTTCGAGATTTTGGATGTCAGTAGAACCCTCACTTATACGCTTTAGAGTACTTTTCTGCCTTCTCACTTACTTAGAGGACAGAATATACCAACGTCTATTGGACTGCGTGAAATTATGCTGTAAGTGCAAATATTTTTGTCCAAAACTACTTTATTACGTTATATTTAATAAATTTTTATTGTTAACTGTTTAAGTTGAATAGGTCTAAATTATTTAATAAAATATCCGGGTTTAATGTTGAAATTTAGTTGTTTTTGTAATATGTTTAGGCTTTTCAACCGTAAATTAGAGTTTAGGTTATGTCTTGTAGTTTTTAACGAGTTAGGAGTAATAAGTATCACATTTGCCCACTTTACGCGTATTTATCTATTCTCTATGTGATAAAATTCTGCTGTGTATACTTTTGCGTTTTCTAGTAGTTTTATAATGATGTAATTCGATTAGTAATTACCGCGGAAATCACGGGTAGATCTACAAAAATTAACCAATCATATGAATGTAACGGTTACTACCGTGAGACAATTATTATTATTATTATAACCCGGATATACGGTTAACCGTACGAATATTCGGATAAGGAGTTCACGGGTCCAAGCTCTACCTTACCAGTTTGTGTGAGGGCTTGACTTCTGAGCCCTTATCCTGGGGCTCAACAAATGCTCTAGCCCGGCTCGCAAAATCTGCGAGTACCCATGGGCTTATTACTAGTAATAGGGAAATCGTCCCAAATTATAAGATCGACTAAAGTAGAAGTTTAAATTCATAGTGTGCCGAGTGACTG